CCACCCTAGGGTAGGGTAAAGATACCTGCCATCCACCTTATCTATACCCCTCATTATTTTATAAATTTCTATAAGATCACCCCTCAACCTCCTTCGCTCCAGTGAAAAATGTCCCAGCCTTTCCAGCCTCTTCTTATAACTCAAACCCTCCACTCTGGCAACATCCTGGTAAATCTCTTCTGAACCCTCTCCAGCTTAATAATATCCTCCTTCCTATAACAGGTGGACCAGAACTGCACACAGTACTCCAGAAGAGGCCTCACCAACGTCCTGTACAACCTCAACATAATGTCCTAATTCCTGTGCTCGAAGGTCCGGGAAATGAAGGCTAATGTGTTAAATGCCTTATTAACCACCCTGTCTACCTGTGATGTAAATTTCAAAGAATTATGTATCTGAACGCCCGGGTCTCTATTCTACAATACTACCCACAGGCTTCCTTTCAATTGTATAAGTCTTTCCTTTGTTTGTTTTACCAAAATGCACAGCAGATTTACCTCCAGCAGTTACTGGTGACCCACTACAAAGGAAGCTGAGCGATCAATGCAGTTGACTAATAGCTGCCCAAACAGACAGACAGTCTCCTTGTCCCCTGCCCTCTAATGATACAGTTTCAATGGGGATGAAGTGTCAGCATGCTGGATGAGATCATTATAAAAATAAAACTTTCTGTGCAGCTACAGATGTGTTTATTGCAAGGCCAGATCAGATTGACAATTTTTAAGGTAGACACAGTGCTCATTGGGTGACATTCAAAGCCTGTGTAAAATTGTTCACTTCGAGATGAGGGAACCAGTGAGAGCAGTCTTCACCATTTTCATGGTCAATCAGATCTAAGTGTACGATGCTACTTTGGATCAAACACAGCGCAATGTTAAATCTGCCTCAGAATGTAGCAGAAATGCGGGAACTAGAAATCAAAATGGTAAATGCTGGAAATGTGAAATGAGTCAGTGGTTAGAGACATGCTGCTTAATGTTTTAAATGGGGAGCCTATATTAAAACAGTGCTATGGAACTCTTAGGCTTGCAAGTCACTGCTTCTATGAATTAAGTATAATTGAGGTTTTTTTTTTTAAAACTTGGACAATTCATGTCAAATGTCCTGCAGGAAAGGATATCTGCTGTACTTACCTGGTCTGGCCCACACGTGACTCCAGACGTACAGCAATGTGACTGACTCTTAACTTCTCTCTGCAATGGTCTCGCAAGCCACTCAATTCAAGAACAATAAAGGATGGATGACAAATGCCAGTCCAGCCAGTGACAACCACATTTTATGACAGAATAATTAAAAAACATAACCGGTCAGACAGCATCTGAAAAGTGATGGGACGATGTGACTAATGAAGGTCATTCAGCCTGTCTGAGTGCCTGCATCCAACCCAGTATTACACAGATATACCAGAATGATGCTTAAACCCCAAGGGTTAAATTATAAGAGATTATGCAAACTTCTAGTGAAAGGTCACTGACCTGAAACATTATTGCTGTTTAACACTTGGTGGATGCTGAGACTAATTTAACGCATATTCCTTTTCTTGTAATAAACTAGGGTTTTTAGAACCAGAAATTTAGATAACCAACAAGTAATCTTCTCAAAACATTCATTATATTAACTGTTGTTTCCACTGGCTGAGGATCTTCTCTTCAGGTAAAGCTCAGATTTCTTTTTACACGTAAGGAGCAACCGAAGTTTAAAATAACCTTTCCAAACAGTAATCAATACTGAATTAACCATGAGTTTTAAATCTGAGACTGATCCATTTTTATTAATGGGAGGTATTAAGGGATTTGGGGAAAGGCTAATGCATGCAATAAGGTCCCAGATCAGATAGGATCTCATCAAACGGTGAGGCAGATTCACAATTAAATAGCAGCCTCTTGTCCTTTTGTTCCATTCACAATGGCCCTAGCAATTCCCTCCTCCCATCTCCATTGTAGCACCCAATTGGCTCATAAAACGACTCTAGGATCTCTGCAAGAGTTGTTCCATAAGTAGATGAGTCAAGTGTGTAAGGAAACATTTGTTACCCAGCCTCAGTCCAAAACTTGCCTTCTATGGGTTCCCCTTGTCCTACTTCTGCAATTTAAAAATCAGTCTCTTACATTTCTTTTGGCAACCTCCAAACCATCCCTGAGATCAGTTCTTGTCCAGGCTGAAAATGCCAAATTTCGCCAGAGAGTTCACATCATCTTTGCGACATTTCACTTTAATGATTCACTGATTATTTTGGCACTTACATGTGGCCCATTCCTCCTCAAACCAAACCTCTGGCACAGTCAGCATAAGTTAAAGGGAGTTGATGGCCTAGTGATATTATCGCTTAGACTATTACTCCAGAGACACAGGTAATGTTCTGGGGACTGGGGTTCAAATTCTGTCATGGAATTGAGTTCAATAAATATCTGGAATTAGGAATCTAATGATGACCATGGAACCATCTGGTTTACTAATGCCCTTTAGGGAAGGAAACTGCCGTCATTACCTGGTCTGGCCTGCATGTCGCTCCAGACCACAGCAATGTGGTTGACTTTCTAGGCAATTAAGGCTGAGTAATAAATACTGGCCTGGATAGTGACTAACTGAAGTTAGAAACTAGAAAGGTGAGTGCAGTTATTAGCAAGCTTGGTGTATTAGAATTCTGTGGAACTGAAAGGATTCAGCAATTTTACTGTGATAGCTGTGTGCAGGTGACTGTGTCTGTTATAGTGCAGTGGGTTAGCTTAGTGATAGACCCTGTGAGAAATTGGGAAAAACAATTAATGCTTCCTCCTTCAATTACAGCGAACAGCTCCCCCTCGCACTGAACAGATGACTGAATAGTACAGCATAGAGGGCATAAAAGTGCATCATATTGTAAGTCATCTTTGCCCGAACAATATCATGCTAATGTGACTCAAAGTCTAGATTTATATATTCAGCAGTTTATAAACTTCACCACTCTGCAAACAAGGGCAGCAGGCCTATGGGAATCCCAGTGAATTCTCCTCCATGCCACACACTGTCCTAACTTGAAACCACATCACCTGTCCTCTTGTTGGTGAATCAAAACCCTAGAGCTCCTTTACCATTAGCACAATAGGTGTACCAACACCACACAGACTATAGCAGCTCAACAAGGTGACTCAACACTACCAGCTGAATGACAATTAAGAATAGGCAATAAATACAGGCCATGACAGCAATGCCAACATCTGCTGAGCAAAAAGGAGAGATTTAGAGATCTAGATATAATAGACATTTATATCGCGTTCTGTAGAACTAAACACGTTCCAACTAGCTGCATGCTAGATGAACATTGCTGAAAGTTAAGCCTGCAGTCCTGAAGTCAGAACCAAAAATAGAAATTGCTGGAAAAGCTCAGCAGGTCTGGCAGCCAGCACTCTGGATGCAGGCAATTACTTCTTGGTTTCAATGCTAACCTCCCTCTCCCTTCCACCCCACAACCGACCTTCAGAACACCCAGCTTCACCTGGACTACTCATGAACAATGTCACGGGAGATCATAAGACCATAAGACATAGGAGCAGAAATTAGGCCATTCGGCCCATTGAGTCAGCTCCACCATTCTATTGTGGCTGATAAGTTTTTCAACCCCATTCTTCTGCTTTCTCCCCATAAACTTTGATCCCCTCAACAGTCAAGAATCTATCTACCTCAGTCTTAAATATACTCAATGATCTGGCCTCCACAGCCTTCTGAAGCAACGATTTCCACAGATTCACCACTCTCTGGCTGAAGAAGTTTCTCCTTATCTCCGTTGTCAAAGGTCTTCCCTTTACTCTAAGGCTGTGCCCTTGGCTCCTAGTCTCTCCTACCAATGGAAACATCTTCCCAACACCCACTCTACCCAGGCCTTTCAGTATTCTGTAAGTTTCAATTAGATCTCCCGTTATCCTTCTAAAATCCATTGAGTATTGACCCAGAGTCCTCAAATGTGTGAAGTGATTCATTTTGGAAGGTCAAATTTGAATGCGGAATACAGGGTTAATGGCAGGATTCTTGGCAGTGTGGAGGAACAGAGGGATCTTGGGGTCCACACTCATAGATCCTTCAAAGTTGCTACTCAAGAAGATAGGCTTGTAAAGAAGGCGTGTGGTGTGTTGGCTTTCATTGGCAGGGGGATTGAGTTTAAGAGCTGCAAGGTTAGACCACACTTGGAATATTGTGTTCAGTTCTGGTCGCCTCATTATAGGAAGGATGTGGAAGCTTTAGACAGGATCCAGAGGAGATTTACCAGGATGCTGCCTGGATTGGAGGGCAGGTCTTATGAGGAAAGGTTGAGGGAGCTAGGGCTTTTTTCATTGGAGCGAAAAAGGATAAGAGGTGACTTGATAGAGGTGTACAAGATGATGAAAGGCATAGATAGAATGGATAGCCAGAGACTTTTTCCCAGGGCAGAAATGACTATTACGAGGGGGCATAATTTTAAGGTGATTGGAAGAAGGTACAGGGGAGATGTCAGAGGTGGGCTCTTTACACAGAGAGTGGTGGGTGTGTGGAATGCGCTGTCGGCAGTGGTAGTGGAGTCAGATACATTAGAGACTTTTAAGCGACTCTTGGATAGGCACATGGAGGATAGTAAAATGTAGGGTATGCAGGGTAGTTTGATTTTAGTAGGATAATAGGGTGGCACATCATGGGCCGAAGGGCCTGTACTGTGCTGTACTGTTCTATCCTCTATAATGTTCCTTATATGTTAAGCTTTTCATGCCTGGGATCACTCTTGGGAACCTGCTCTGGACCAACTCCAGAGCCAGTACATCCATCCTGAGGTATGGGGCCCAAAACTGCTCACAATTTTCCAAGGAGACACGAGCGACTGGAGCAACTCTGTTCTTGGTCACGACAAGGAAAGACAAAACAATGGTGCAATCTTGCACCTTTGCCACCCTGTTTCAGTTGGGCGTCTCGCAAAAACAAAGGCATGATTGCCCATGCCGTGCCACCGCCCCCCCATGCCTCCTTCCAGGTTGAGCATGACGACAGAGACTCACCGGTGCAGCGTTTCTGCAGTTGCAGGATCTCCATGTGTAGCCCATGCAGTAGTTCCATGTGTTCACCCTTTAAGAAGGCAATGTTTCGCTGAACGCTCTGCAGCTGCCGCTCCAGAGACGAAGTCTCCATGGTGACCGGGTAAACAGTCTGAGCCCGGAGGGAAAGCACAGGTTAATGATCAGGAGAGACAATGATGTGAAGCATAGTCAACATGTTCAGAGATCTTTAAGGACACTGCAATAAATCCTCGGCTTTGTACCTGAATGAGCTGCTACTTTCAATCCACTGATCTCCTATGCAGTGCCCTTGCTGTTCCTCTGCAACAAACAACATTTCACAAGAGAACCATTCTTTTCACTTTCAAATGAAGCTGTGAATTTAATAATGCTTAATTTATTATACATTACTATTCTGCACTAAACAGATTACACATGTGTCTGTGTATAAAATATCACTTGGAAAAGCGCTCCGGTTGTAAAATTAGAAATTATGGATTTTGGCATTTCTAAACTGGGATGCAGACATCACTGGCAAGGTCAGCATTTGTTGCCCATCCCTATTTGCATCAGTTGAGTAACTTCTGAGCCTGTGTCCAAGAGCCAAGACATTGCCGAGAGTTTGGAATCATGTAGGCCAGGCTGGGTAGGAGTGGCAATTTTCAGCCCCAAAGGACATTTATGAAACAAATGAGTTTTTGCAACAAATTGACAGTTTTCATGGTCACCATTACTTGGACTAGCTTTCATTTTTTTTTCCTTCTTATATCAGGAAGCGTTATCGCACACAACCCAACGGTTTGCCCACCACCAAATCACCCTGACCTTTTTATTTGTTTTTAACTATTAATCACCACGGGTAGAACTAGCTTTCAATTCCACTTATTTACTAATTGATTAATTATAATTAATTCATAGCATTTAAATCCTACCAGCTACCATGTGGGATTTGAACCCATGTCCCCAAAAACATTAGCCAAGGCCTCTGGGTTACTAGTCCAGTGATAGTACCACCATTTCTCCGCATCTCTGACCAAACACGTGGTAGAGGACTTCAAGGCCCAGTCATAGTTAGGAACTGAAGGGGCGAATAGGGAATCATATGTCATCGGCTGTTGTGTTGCCTCCTTCTGCTCTGTGATGGGATGTAGGTGCAAAAGGGCTATCCTTGTGCAAACTGTCAGTAACCAACTGAGATAACTATGGGCCCAGAGAAGGAGGCCAATTGGATTTCCCCAGTCAGGCTCCAGGTTGCCCCAGGTGACCATGGACGCTCCAGCTCAGGGCAGAAACAAAGACTTTCAACTCCTCCATGCTGCTCAAGAGCTGGAGGACAGCCTGGGGTGGCTGCAAAGACCATTTTATATGTCAAGTCTCACATACTCTCACAGGGCATCCTGATACTGCTTTTGTAAGATTTCTGATTGGACCTCCACCTTGGATAGTCTGTCCACCCCCCATCACTAATTGGCTGGCGAGCCTGCATTCTGGCGATTCAATGGCTAAGCCACAAAACATAAGTCACCTGCCATTGAGCTTGAGGGCAGGATCCTGAAAGCCACAGGCAAAATCCTGCGTGTGCACTCTGAATTGTAGTGTTCCTTAAATTCAAGAAGGGAAGCACACCTTTATAAATGTTCTAAAGAAGTATCACTGGACCAGAAACAGTAACTCTACTTTCTCTTATTCTCAGATGCTGCCAGACCTGCTGAGTTTCTCCAACAATTTTGCTTTGTTTCTGATTTCCTGCATTTGTAGTTGTTTGGTTTTTTTTAAAGTTCCTTCATAAATGTTGTTTATTTCATGTGAACCACAAAACATAAATGGCCTTGCAGAAACAACAATGCAGAAATAAGAAACCCTTGTGGCAATTGTAAAATTATTAATTCTGGCAGACATTATTTATCTTCACCTCACTCTGGTAAAATACAATGAAGAAAGATTTGGCGCATTTGATCTTGTAAGCTCTGCCTATTGCCTTCTGCTTGGCTTCTTGGTTTGGTGGGTCCCAGTAAGGACCTCCTCAGGTCTTATTCATCCAGTTCTAAGCACATTCCCACCTAAAAGACACCCTCCAATGCTAACTGACCTGCTGTGGCTTTGCATTTTTCTTATCTGAATAGGAGTGGGCCATTCAGCCCCACTCAGCTTCTACCATTCAATTAGATCCTGGCCAATCTCTACTTTGAATCCACCTACTCAGCTCGATCCCACATCTTTAAATACTGTTACCTAGCAAAAACCTATCAAACTCAGTTTTGAATTTTTCAATTGACCCCCCAGCCAATTATTTAAAAGAGGGGTTGGGTTGGGAGTGGGGAAGGGGTGATTCTCAATTCTAATCCTATCTGTATGAAGAAATGTGTCCTGAATTTACCCTGGCTCTAACAAAAGGCTAATGACCCCACATTCTTTCTTTCTACACCATCAACTCCTCTGACAATCTCAGACACCTCAGTAAATCACTATTAAACTCCTATTCTCCCTGGTGTATAAGTCTAGTGCATGAAACCCATCGTCGTAATTTAAGCTGTCGCATTAATTGGTTGTCAAGCCCCAAGTCAAACTCTCAATGAATATACAATAGAATCTCTATTGAAAAACGACTAATGATCCCTAATTCATCCTGCCCAAGTATTAACCCTTTCACACTTCAAACAGAAATCCCTCCTTCACTGTGTACAGCACTACTTTCTCAGCTGCAACCATCAATCCAATGGCCAATATTGTGGTTACGACTGTAATGCTGTGAAATCCTTCCAACCACCTTTCTCCAGGATTCTTCTTTTATTTTCAGTTAGTGTACCCAGCTCTGAGCTCCTGTATCAGGGAAATCATCCCAGGAATGTGTATCAAAATGTTCTCCCCTCTTGTCTCTCTCTGTATCAGGCTCCCATATGTTTTCATGAACATCCAGTCCCGTTACAAAGTGAACCTTACTGACCTACCTCCACCACAAGTGTGGCAGGTTATTCATCGCAGGGATAGTAGAAAGGGGGTTTTGGTACGAGGAGTTCAGTCTGACATTAATACACTAATGAGACAGTATCTATCACTTCTCTGTGATGGTTTTGCTTTTTTTTTCTTGCAGCCTGATGGCAAGATGAAGCCTGAGTAAGATGCTTCCTGAATTAAGTTGGGGTGCAATGGCCTAGTCGTATTATCACTAGACTATTAATCTAGATACTTGGCTAATGTTCTTGGGACCTGGGTTCAAATCCTGCCATGGCAGATGGTAGAATTTGAATTCAATAAACGTCTGGAATTAAAAGTCTAATGATGACCATAAATCAATTGTCCAAAACAAAAACCCATCTGGTTCACTAATGTCCTTTATGGAAGGAAATCTGCCATCCTTACCTGGTCTGGCATGCATGTGACTCCAAACCCACATGCAATGTGGTTAACACTTAGCCGCCTTCTGGGCAATAAATGTTAGCAAAGCCAGAGATGCCCACATCCTGTGAGTAAACAAAAGTTAACATTTCCCTCACATCAGCTCTCTCTATAAATATTAATTAGCAGCACAACAAGACCAAGTATATTTATAAAAGTGTGCCTCATTGGCTGGCATCTTTGACAGAGTTGGCACAGGCCCAGCTGTCTGAATGGGTTCCTCTTGTTCTGCATGATTCTCCGGGGGCATCTCCAAAACGGCTATACAAATGCAAAACGCTGCAGAGGCTACAATCAAAATACACCCCCAAAGGAGAAAATACTGAAATACTCAGCAATTCTGGTGACAACTGTGGAGAAAGATGAAACAGAGTTAGGGATTCAAGGTAACGACTGCGAATCTGGCCTGAAACGTTAACTCTATTTCTGCTTCCAAAGGTATTGCCAGACCTGCTGAACGTTTCCAGCAGTTTCTGATTTTTATCCAAGGTGCTATTCTCGTCCTTAGCTCATCAATCTGGGATGCACTTGCCAACAGGCATTGATGATGATCAGGAGAAACTGATTCAACAAAGGAATGGGGAAGGGAAATCTGCAAAGGTAAACTGTGGCATTGTAGATTACCATTTCAGTGGGGATCATTGAAACTGGAGGATCTTTTGGTCAACACGGGCCACATTTGCAGTTACCAACCCAGACAGGAAAGGGTATTAGAGTGTAAATTTCTGCCCTCACTGATTCTGGACAGAGTAAAATGTCTTTAGAATCACAGAATCAATATGCATGGAAACAGGTCATTTGGCCCATCAAGTCCACACTTACAGCCTGAAGGGCATCCCACCCAGACCTGTCCCCGTAACCCTGCATTTCCCATGGCTAACCCACCTAGCCTGCACATCCCTGTACATTTTAGGCAATTTAACATGGCCAATCCACCTAACCTGCACATCTTTGGACTTTAACTTCTAAACAGTTGACCCAATCGTTAAAGCAGAATATGGTATGAATATTTCAAAATAGGTTCACAAGTACGTAATCCTCTGGTGAGTGGATTGCTGGTGTACATTAATGTTACGAATCAGTGCTGCTAACAATGTTATTTCTCATTGAGCAATATGTGGATTTCTTCCTTTTTCCCAACTAACCTCATTAGAAAAAAGCTTTCTCGGTTAAAGTATTATCCCAGGTGGAATATTTTACTCGGTGTACTGGATTGAAAATGCTGTTACAATTGATTACTTGGAATAAGAATTGAAACATCAAGAACAGAACTGTGATGCCAGTAAAATGCATCTCAGCGAGTACAAATGGATGGAGTTCACAATTTGCAAAGAATTGATCATGAGAGGGCTTAGCCCCATAGTCACTGATGCTCAATGCAATGCTGTACTATCAGCAGAACATCTGACTGACAGATGATGAATAACAGGCAGTCAAGAATTACAAGGTGTTGCTATTCAATCAAGTGAGCCAAGTGTGGCAGTGCCACGTCCAGCAATCCAGGTAGAAAGATCAGGTGAGGCTGGTCCATTCCCCGGACAAAAACTGAAAGAACTGCAGATGCTGTAAATCAGAAATACGAACAGAAATTGCTGGGAAAGCTCAGCAGGTCTGGCAGCATCTGTGGAGAGAAATCAGAAATCTAAGGAAGGGTCACTCGACCCGAAACGTTAACTCTAGATTTCTCTCCTTAGATGCTGCCAGACCTGCTGAGCTTTTCCAGCAATTTTTTGTTTTTGTTTCAATTCACCAGAT